TGTGGGTTATTTCCGTTTGGGGCATTTACAAGAAACGTTGCTAGAACATTTGTGTACAAGTCTTGTGTGAACCTGAGTTCATCTCTCTTGGATAAATACCTAGGCGTGGAGCAGCTGGGTCATGTGAATGTGGGTTTCACCACTTAAGCAGCAGTTTTACATAACTGCCAAACTGTTATTCAAGGTGGCTGGACCGTTTTACAGCCCCCGTTGCGTGCGCACCAGTCGCCTCGCCCAGCAGTACGTGCTGTGGTTGGTCGTTTTCATGGCAGCCAATCCTCCGGGTGTGCTCAGGCCGTGGCTGCGGCTTGACCTGGGTTTCCTGGTCCCTAGCGAGGTGGAGCATCTCTTCGTGTGCTTATTTGCTGTGTGCGTATCTTCTATGGGGAAGTGTCTGTTCCTGTCTTTTGCCCATCTTGTAAAGCTTGGGTTGTCGGTTTGCTTGCTTTTGAGTTTGGAAAGCTCTGCATACGTTCAGGGCACAGGTCCTTTACCAGGCCCTGCCCCGTGTCTTTCGGAGAGCAGGTGGCTTCTGCGTTCCTGACTCTGGGGAACTCTAGTCCTGCCACGTGGGGTCTGTTATGGGGCAGGGGCACCTCTGCCTTTCCCACCACGGGGCGTGGGGCTTTGGAGCTGCCATTGCCCTCCCTCGTAGGTGGCCCTAGGGGAGCCCCTCCGCCTCCATTTCCTCATCCAGAAACTGGGGGTGACCATCACCACCACTGTTGTCACCTAGCTCCAGCTCAGGGTCCCTGCTGAAGGCCGGAGAGCTCGGCGCGGCCCCCTGTGGGTCCATGCTAGGGCTGGGAAGACCAAGGCCCAGGTGAGGCCTCTGCCCAGTGCCTGGCACTCCTTCCTGCCCCATTTTTCCACCCAGGGTGGCTCCCGACTGTTTCTGGTGGCCTTGGGGACAATTGAGGTGGGCAGGCTGGCGTCACCCCCATTTCCCACTGTCCTACCCACCCCCTCCTGGCCCAGCTGTTTTGCCCTATTAAAAGTCACATGGGCCCTCGGGTCCTTGCTGGTGTTGACCCAGGCTCCTCCAGGCCCTGCAGGCCAGGACCAGCCTTCCCTGCAACCCTCAGCAGAGGCCTGGGGCCGGGGCTTGTCTGGGGGCAGCCTCCCCACACGGCCCTGGAGTCTGAAAAGAAGCCCCTTCCCAGAGCCCAGCAAGGAGCTGCAGCGCGGCCTGGAGTCCCACCGTTAGCAGGTTTGGGGTTTAGGCTAAGCTTTGCTGTCACTACCTTTCTGTTAGGACGTTGTGCCCATTAGATGGGGTCATCCCCTCAGTGCCCAGGCTAGAGGAGAGGTGGTCCCTGCCCAGCCAGGGAGGGCGTGGGGTGGATCAGCCCCTATGGAGCAGCTTCCGAGCCAGGCACGGTTCCAGGATCAGCTCTGTTTCATAGAGGGGGACACTGAGGCACAGGGAGCCCAGGGACCCTTCCAGCGGCCCCGCAGCTCCTGTGGCTGAGTCAGGGTTTGTCGCCAGGTCTCTGTGGGGATGAGGCTCCCCCATCCACCTGCCCCACTCTGTCCTGGAACAGCTCTCAAAACGGTCTCCGCACCACAGTTTCAAAACAAAATAAGCGATGTTTTCAGAGGCCCTGGAGGAAGCCAGAGTTACCACGGCAACTCTCGGCCTCGCCACCTCCTCCCACCAGGCTGCAGATGGAGCCAGCTCAGGAGGGCAACAGGGTGAGGACAGCCAGGCTCTCTGGGGCCACCCCCCAGCCCCCACCCTTCTTGCCTCCCCTGCACTGTCCACGACCCTGCCTGTGCTCCCACGGGTGTGATGGGCCCAGAAGCACTAGGAGCTGTCTGCTCCTGCAGGATTCTGGAAGTCGGGGGCCCCTGGCCTCCCTGGGGCCTTGTCATGTGAGGGGCACACTTGGGGTCCCAGCTGCCAGATGGCTTCCAGTACTGCCCACAGGTGCCCGTCGGGCCCTCGGTGATTCTAACACACCTTCCCCTCGGCAAGGAAGAGCTTCAGTCTGGGGCCTGGGCAGGGGAAGTAGGCTGCCATCCTCTCTAAACCAAAGTATGAAAATTGAGTTGAAACTCCCATAGGAGGGCAGGAGGTACAGCTCCTCAGAAGAAGGTCTGAGAAACCACAGCCCAGGTGGTTGTGTCGGGTGCGTGGAGAAGGTGCTCTGGCAGCCCCGCTACGGGGGACCACCAACAACCCCTTTGGGGTGAGAGCCCCACCAGGCTGGAGTGCAGCAGCATTGTGGTCACAGCTCACTGCAGCCTCCAACACCTGGGCCCACAGTCTGCCCACCTCAGCCTCCCAGGTGGCTGGGACCACAGGCATATGCCACCATGCCCAGCTAATTATTTTTACTTTTTGTAGAGATGGGGTCTTGATATGTTGCCCAGGCTGGTCTTAGACTCCTGGCCTCAAGCAGTCCTCCTACCTCGGCCTCCCAAAGCGCTGGGATTACAGGCGTGAGCTACCACACCTGGATAATTTTTTTCTCGGAGACACAGCCTCGCTCTGAGACCCAGGCTGGAGTGCAGTGGCACAATCATAGCTCACTGCAGCCTCAATCTCCTGAGCTTAAGCGATCCTCCCATCTCAGCCTCCTAAGGTACTGGGATTACAGGTGCTTGCCACCACGCCCAGCCCCCTCTGGCCTTATTGTTTGCCAGGCCCAGCTTAGGTCCCAGAGGAGGGGAGGCAGGAGTGTGAGGGGAAGGGGGAAGAGGTATAGAGCCCCCAGCTCCTCCACCCAACCGAACCCTCACCGAGGCCCTAGACCGGCCTGCCTGGGGAGTCCTCAGGGCTTTCCTTGGGTGTGGGCCATGGTACTGGGGCCCGAAGCTCACACTCTGCTGGGCACAGTCCCCTGCCCACCCCCACCTTAGGGCCTTGCTTCCCTGGCAGGGCCGTTGGAGCAGGAGTGGGGCTGTCCAGGTGGTGGTCTTGGGTACAGCTCCCGGTTTCTCTTCTTTTTTTTTTTTTTAAGCTTTCGGTTTCTCTTCTGCAGTTGACCGGCAGCCCTGCATCTGTGGTGGGGTCGGCGCCTGGTGCTGGTGAGGCAAGGCCTCAGCTGCTGGGACAGGACCTGCCTGGCACCCAGCTGGTGGCAGAGCCAAGCATTCCGACTCAGCTCTGGGAGCAGCTGCCTTCTGGGCTGACATTCTCCGCTGGGGAAGTTGTGCCCTCATCGCCCCGGGTGTCTCCTCACCTGGCTGATTTCATCTTGTGTCCCCCTGCCTCCTCCTCCAGGAAGCCCCCAGGGCCTGGCCCTTTGTGAGAGTGGCATGGAGGAGGAAGGCAGACTCACCCAGGCCAATGGGAGCTGGATGGTGGCCACACTTGTGGGGCCCTGACCCCACAGGCTTCTTTAGAACGCCCTGGCGTGGGTGGTCCCTGCCTGAGTGCTGCGCACGGCTGTCTGCCAGACTGGGTTTTAGGGGATTCTCGTACTGTCCTCCTGGGGCAGCAGGGGGTAAAGCCTGACCCACTCAGACTGTCCAGCAACAAGGGCCTCCTATTGTGGACCAGGGACCCTGGAACTGACTGTGTCCTAGAGATGCACTGTTCCCAGGCTGCTGGAGGGTTGTGGGGCCATGTTTCATGCCTGGGGCGGGAAGAAACCCCAGGAGGGGTCTGAAGGGGACCCAATCCCCATCCCATCTAGCAGGGAGGAGCATCTGCAAGAGGCGACCGACGAGTCCTGGAGTGGAGGAGGGTAGGGGCAGCAGGAGGCCGAGGGGTCCTGGAGTGCAGGAGGGTGGGGGGCAGCAGGAGACCAAGGGGTCCTGGAGTGGAGGAGGGTAGGGGCAGCAGGAGGCCGAGGGGTCCTGGATTGGAGGGTAGGGGCAGCAGGAGGCCGAGGGGTCCTGGAGTGGAGGGTAGGGGCAGCAGGACTCAGGGCCACTGGTCATTTATGGGGATCACATGGCCGCAGTGTGCCCTGCATGGTGCTAGGCACGAGGGACAGAAAAGCCTGTGTCCCCTCCCACCACCAGAGGGCTGGGCACTGCCCCTAGGGAGAGAGGAGGAATTGGTGCGTGCGGAGGGGGGCCTAGGGCACGTGCCTGGCCTGGTCGGATGATCAGAGTGGGCTGAGCTGGGCCTGGTTTGGGACCCAGTCTCAAGGGTAGACCCCACCTGGCTAGAGTTGGTTGTGTGCACACAGGACGACCTGGCATTGAGGGCCTCTCCTCTCTGTGAGCCCCATCCCCGCCGGCCAGACTCCCAGCACAGCCCCCTTCCTGCCCCAGCTGCTGAGCGGCAGTGCTGGGCCGGCTTCTGTGCACCCCTTCCCCCAGCCCATCTTGGAAACCACAGCAGCTTCCTTCCTCCCGTTTCCCTTCCCAGGGCTGATGGCAGCAGGGATGTATCCCACAAACCCCGCAGGCCCTGGTGCCTACAGCTTGGCCCGGTAACATCAAATCCTACTCCCTCCTCCTGGCAGCAAAGATGGGGTGCCCCCACCCCAGAGTTTTCAGCACCCCCAGACAGAGGCAGTGCCCCAACGAGCTCAGAACTCTTGGGGTGGTGCCACATCCTTGCAGGAGGGTGTGGTGTTCCTGGGATGCTCAGGTCCTGGTATCACCTCTGGCCAGATGTGGAAAGTGAAACTACAGGGTGTCCAATTAAGCTTGAACTTCAGATAAACACTAGATTATTTTTTTGTATGTCCCATGCAATATTTGGGACACACTTATCCTAAAGAAGTATTCCATTTTCATCTGAGAGGCAGATTGAACCGGCGTCCCGTATCTTCCTGGCAGTCCTGTGCTGGAGTCGCACTCCACAGGTGCAGGGCAGGGCCAGGCTCCAAGAAGATGGCGGCCAAAGCACCTGCCTCATGCTTCCTGACTCCCGGGGCTCCTCGGGGCATTGCGAAAACCAGGGCAGCAGAGCTGACACCTGGTCCCTGCTCGGGAGCCAGCGGGCGGCTCAGCAAGGCAGGAGGCTGCTCAGGCTGCGCATGTGGGGCAGGCACAGTCCTCTTGGTACATGTGACACCGTTCCCGCTCTTTCCCAGCTGGCTGGAGGCGTGATCCTGGGTGTAGCCTTGTGGCTCCGCCATGACCCGCAGACCACCAACCTCCTGTATCTGGAGCTGGGAGACAAGCCTGCGCCCAACACCTTCTACGTAGGTGAGTGCACATGTGGCCGCAGACGCATTCAGGGAGGGCTTCCAGGAGGAGGCAGGGCCTAGCCTTTTGGGTGAGGACTTCCAGGAGGAGGCAGGGCCTAGCCTTTTGGGTGAGGACATGGAGGGTGAAAGGCAGTTAGGCATGGCATATCTGGGCAGGGAGGCGGCCCTGGAAAGGGCTCTGGGCACAAGGGTTGAAATGGAGGTGGGCCTGTGGCCTGCTGGCTCCTTTGGCCTGAGCCAGGGCAGGGGGTGGCAGCCAGGCCTGCGCAGGGACTGTGTCGAGAGCTTGCTTATTTTAAGTGTGGGGTTATTTCAGGGGAGGCTCCCGGGGAAGGGTGGGGCTGGATGCCTGGGCTGCACTGAGCCTGGGAGGGAGGGAGGGATGGAGCTCAAGGGATGGAATCCAGTGAGGGGTGGAGAGGGGGGTGGAGAGGGGGCAGGGCAGGGGTGGAGAGGGGGCAGGGCAGGGGTGGAGAGGGGGCAGGGGAGGGGTGGAGAGGGGGGCAGGGCAGGGGTGGAGAGGGGGCAGGGGAGGGGTGGAGGGGGCAGGGCAGGGGTGGAGAGGGGGCAGGGGAGGGGTGGAGACACTCCAGAGGCTGGTGTGACTCAGCTGCCTCTGCAGGCAGCTGCACCTTGCGGCCTTATTAGACTGCGTGTGGGGGACTGAGCTGCCCTCCCCACCCCCAGGAGCAGAAGTGATGGAGGAGGAGGCGGGGAGGGGCAAGGCCCGGAGCAGGAAGAGGACCGTCTCACTGTGCAGAGCAGCACCCCTCCTCCTGGTGCCCCTGGCAGGGCTGGTGCTGGTGGGGCTCTGGGAGCATTTGTTGAGATGCTTCTGTCCTTTAGAGGAGGCCTCTGGGATGGCCCTGTTGCCCTCACAAGCTGAGGGGTGGGTGGGGTGGGCAGCCTGTGTGTCCCCAGTCTTCAGGGCTTCCTTCAGCCGGCAGGTGCCCCAGGCCTGGAGCTGTAGGGCCAGGCCCCCCACCAGTTACGGAGGCTGCTTGGCTTGGTTGCTGAACCAGGGCCCCAGGAGGCCCGAAATGGCCCCACACCTGCACCGTCCCGCCTCTGTGCAGTCACCCCAGGGCCAGGTGAGGGCCCTGGCCACACGGCGTGCCCGTTCCTTCTTCCCCATACCCCGCTCATGGGTCAGATGGCTGGTGCTGGGGTCCAGACGGTGTCAACAGGGACAGTCCTTGTCCTCCCCAGAGACAGAAGCCTGTGGCCCACAGAGGGTTTCTGGGTGCAGCCGATTCTGGGGAGGGTCCCGTGACCCTGCCCATAGGTTCCTGGCCTCTCTCGGGGCGTGGTGCCCTCACAGGTGTGTGTCAGGAGAATGGGAAAGGCTGCTTGTCCCAGGGGCTCGTGTGGAGACACCCCCTGCACGCAGCTGGGGCGCTCCTGCCCGCGTCCTCAGAAGCACTTGGCTTAGCTTTGCCCGTGTGCCTGGGCTGTGGGCAGCAAAGCCTGGCCAGCATCCTCCTATCTCCGAGGGTGCATCTCTCCTGGGGGGCCCCTCCCGGGCCTCTTCCTCCCCGCTCCCCAGATCATTAGGGCTATTTGGGGTCCAGAAGGTCCTCCCAGCCCATCCTGGGCCTTGTCCTCCAGGGCCACCAGTCCAGCCAGTGACAACCACAGCATCCCTGGCCTAGAACGAGGCTGCCCCCAGTACATTCCTTGTACTCCTGTCCAGGGACAGGAGGGGACTGCCCCCAGCACATTCCTCGTACTCCTGTCCAGGGACAGGAGGGGCTGCCCCCAGCACATTCCTCGTACTCCTGTCCAGGGACAGGAGGGGCTGCCCCCTTCTCCAGGACCTGGGGCCGCTGGGTGTGAGGCAGCTGTTCCTGGAAGGCGTCACTCTCCAGGCACCCAGCGGCCGAGCCTTGTGGCTGCAGCAGCTCCTGCTGCTGGACCAGCGTCCCGCCCCGTGTGGCCGGAGAGGAGCTGAAGGGTCACTAAGCTTCGGGCTGGGGCAAGGACAGGGGACACCCCAGAGAGGTATGCCAGGCCTCCTTCCTGCGCCCCACTCTCGGCAGAAGCAGAGGTCACAGGCTGTGCTGAGGCCCCATGGGGCAGTGGTGCTGCCTTCACAGTGCCAGGGCAAGGCTGATGTTGGAAGCCAGGGTCTGACCCGCATGGTGTCACTGTGGTCACATCAGAGCTCCAGCCCCAGAGCCGCCCACCCTCGGTCCTTGGCTGTGGTTTCCCTGGGCTGGAGGAGCCTGCTGTGGTGTTGGCCACACGACCACAGGACCCGTCACCTCTGACATGAGCTCTGCCTGGGTCCCCACTGGACGGAGACCGCTTGGATCTCCTCTGGCCGTCAAGTCCTTGCCCATCCCAAAACTGGCCTTCTGGAGCCTCTTGCTGTCCCCGATGCGGGCTGGGCCCTGCCGAGGGCTTTTTTTCCCAGCGCTGGGAACAGGGCGGGTTTGCTGGGCTCACTCCCCTCAGAGACGCTGCGGGTGCGGTGGGTTAGGCCTGAGGGCTTTGGAGAGGAGCCTGGGGTGGGGCTCGGGCCTGGCAGGGGGTCCGGCAGCCCTGGGCCTCCCACCTCCTGTCAGGACCAAAAAAGGCAATGCGCCCCTCCTGACCTGCACCCCTGAGTGAAGCCAACCTTGCAACCCAGGAGTGTCAGGGCCTGAGGGGAGGGAGACCTGGCTCCTGGGCGCTGTGCCCATAAGGAGGTGGCCTTGCAAGGCTTTGCTGGCAGAGGCCTCATCCGATCAGGCAGGAGGCTGGGTGGCCAAGCCCTAGATCTGGGTGTGTTCTCTGCCTGGCGGTGGGTCCTGCCCCAGGCACCTTCTCCCCTGGACTGGCTGGGCAGGGACAATGGGCCTGGCTGTGAGGAGGGGGCCTGGGCTGCCTTCTGCATTGCCGCAGCGACAGGGGACAGTCCCGCCTGCTGAGGGATAGGGGAATGGGCAGGCACTGAGAGACACTAACAGCTGTCCCGAGGGTACAGGGCCCTGTCTGGGTGGCCAGGCCCATGTCTCGGGCCCACAGTGTGCCCCCCACCCTTGGACGGCGCCTTCTCCCTCCCCAGGTGTGTGCTGCCCAGCCAGGGGCCGTGGGGGAGTTCGGGAGGGCTGGCCGACATGTCCTGGTCCAGCTGTCCCAGGTGGGGTGCTGGGCTTCAGCCCTCAGCCCAGGGCCTAGGAAGCCAACTTGATCCGCCCACACAGCAGCCAGGTTCAAACACAGGTCCCATAACCGAAGTGCTGCTGTGCAGCCAAGATGGGGGGCAGGAGCCAGCAGGGCCCCCCGCCCTCTTCTCGCACCACACTGGGGAGGCAGCACTGGTTCCGGTTCCGGTTCCTGGGCTGCCCCCTCAACCCCAGCCTACAGCGGGGCCCACCCTGTGCCTTCTGATGCCACTCCCACCCCACGCCCAGTCCCAGAGGCTTTGGGAATGGGTGCAGGTGGTGGGTGGCGGGTGGCAGGCTGTGGGCCACACCGTAGGTGTCATCCCTGCGAAGCACCTGTCACCAGCACTCAGAGCACTCACAAGGTGCACAGTCCCCACGTGGCCTCCTCAGTCTCCGTCCTGTGTCATGGGAGAGGTAGCTGAGGCACAGAGAACTCACCAGGCCGGGCTGGGATGTGGGGTCCCTCGCCGCTCATCCCTGGCCATCAGCAACCCCACATCTTCCCAGCTGGGCGGCCCGTGGTGGGGTCGGCACCCAGGACCCTCCGGGGTCTTGGGCTGTGACGAGTGTGCAGGCACCCACCGGTGTCTCTCTCCCCACAAGGCATCTACATCCTCATCGCTGTGGGCGCTGTGATGATGTTCGTCGGCTTCCTGGGCTGCTACGGGGCCATCCAGGAATCCCAGTGCTTGCTGGGGACGGTAAGGCAGGGAGGACTGGGGATTCATGTCCCGGGCTGCAGATGCCGGGGCCCGGGAGGGGCTGGGGGCTGCGTCTAGCCCTGAGGAGGGGCCAGAGCTGGTGCTCAGGGCGGAACCTAGAGTTCTGGGGGAGGTGGCTCCTGTGCCCTGGTTTTCCTGTTTGGTTTTTAAATTAAATCCCATCATGCTTGATCTCCATCGTGGCCAGTTCCTACGTGACCGCTTTTCTTTGTCAAAAAATAGCCACAAATATAACAGGGAGCAAGCCTTAGCTCTGAGGGGAGCCTCAGCGTCCCGGGCACACCGCCCCCAGTGGGAAGCCCAGGCCTGGCTGTGCCATCCAGGGCCTGGCCAGTCCAGGAAGAGGGAGCCTGTGCCCGTTGTCTCCAGTGGGGGAAACTGAGGCACATCCCATGGCTCCCCCTTCCTGTGGGGAGCAGGAGCAAGGGCAGTCAGGGGTCATGCTGCTGCACACGCCTCCCTGGGGGCTGCAGACATCCTGGACTCACCAGCCTGTGACCCCAAACCTCGCGCCCCGCCCCATCCACCCCGTCCTGCGGAGCCTGGTGCTGCGTGGGGACATCGTGGGCTTTGACGGCTCCTTCCTGGACTGAGTCTTAGTCTCTGTGCCCCAGGGCTCCACACAAGCTGCTCACTCCTCGTCAGGTCGTGGGCTGGTGACTCCCACTAGCCCCTCACACACACACCGGCTGGGCACCTGGGTGTGTGTCCCAGGTCCCTTCCCACAGCCTGCCCTCTTTCCTCCCTCTGGCCACTGCCTGGCTCCAGTTCTTCACCTGTCTGGTCATCCTGTTTGCCTGTGAGGTGGCGGCTGGCATCTGGGGCTTTGTCAACAAGGACCAGGTGAGCCTGGGTGTGTGGGTGTGCCCCTCACCCGCCACACCTCCCCTGTCGCGGGTGGGGCGGGTGGGGGGGCACCCTCCTCCCCTGTTGCGGGTGGGGCGGGTGAGGGGGGCACCCTCCTCCCCTGTCGCGGGTGGGGCGGGTGGGGGGGCACCCTCCTCCCCTGTCGCGGGTGGGGCGGGTGGGGGGGCACCCTCCTCCCCTGTTGTGGGTGGGGGGGGCACCCTCCTCCCCTGTCGCGGGTGGGGCGGGTGAGGGGGGCACCCTCCTCTCCTGTCGCGGGTGGGGCAGGTGAGGGGGGCACCCTCCTCTCCTGTCGCGGGTGGGGTGGGTGAGGGGGGCACCCTCCTCCTGTCGTGGGTGGGGGTTGGGCTGACCCATGGTTTGTGGGAGCTCTTTGGGCTCCTCCTGGGTCCCCCGTGCTAGGAGGATCTCCAGGGGCTTTATGGAGGAGGCAGCATTGGGGCTGAGCACAAGGCCAAGCTCCCGTGTCCCAACACCCCCTGGGCAGCTGAGAGTGCAGAGTCCTTGTTCTCTGGGGTCTGGCCTCGAAGCCACCCTGCCCAGGGAGAGCCTGGGAAAAGTGCGTCCGCCTGGGGCGGGGTGGGGTGGGGGCAAGGTGGGGGAGGCCCCCCCGTGCATGTGACCGCATCGCTTCCCCAGATCGCCAAGGATGTGAAGCAGTTCTATGACCAGGCCCTACAGCAGGCCGTGGTGGATGACGACGCCAACAACGCCAAGGCCGTGGTCAAGACCTTCCACGAGACGGTGCGGCCCGCGGGGGCGAGGGCGGGGAGCAGGGCTGCGGGAACCCGGCTGGGGAGTGTCTCATCCTGAACAAATCCTGCCTCCGCCCAGACCTCAGGAGCAGGAGGGGTGCCCTTGGGACCTCCAGGACCCCTGGGCTCAACCGGTCCTCGGGTGGGAACCTAGTGGGCCAGGCTGGCCCAGGGTGTGGAAAGCTCTGAGCAGCGCAGCTGAGGAGGAAGAAGGCCGGCCCCTGGATGCATTCTGCAGTGGGGAGCGCTGCGTACCCCTGGCCGCCTCCCCGTGGGTTCCCCAGAGCCGCCATCCCCCGGGCACGTCCAGGGCTGACCTCGCACCCCCGCTCTGTGCAGCTCGACTGCTGTGGCTCCAGCACGCTGGCCGCTCTGACCACCTCAGTGCTCAAGAACAATCTGTGTCCCTCGGGCAGCAACATCATCAGCAACCTCCTCAAGGTGTGCGAGGCCGCCGGGGCCGCGCCTGATCCCCTCGCGCCGCCCAGCCCCTGGGTGGAGTCGGCAGGTCACACGGCAGCCCCACGGGGAGCGACCACGCTGGGTGGCGTGGCCCCTGCCAGGGCTGCCCTGCTGGGAGGGTAGGGGTGGGACTGCATCTGGCCCACGAGGAAGGCAGGCGCCCTGCGCTGCGCATGCCGGGTGAAGAAGGTGGAGGCTCTGGGGGGGCGGAACTCACCTGCACCCCCAGCTCCGCGTGTGCATTTGTGGGTGTGGATGCCCCTGACAGCCTGTGGCTGGCAGGGCCTGCAGGCCGTATAGTGCCCTGTGGAAGTTGCCTGCTGAGGCCTCAGTGGAAGTCGTCAGTGGGTGCACATCAGTGATGCTGTAGGGGTCTAGTGACACCAATGATCGTGATCTCAGGGGAAAAGGGCACAGTGTGTCCCAGGTATTTCGCGTTTATGTTAAAAAGGGTGGAAAATAGAAAGCTGACAGAGGCCGGGCCGCTGCACCCACCTGGTCCGAGGTGGGTGGGGGGTGGGGGCTGTTTCCAGGATTCCCCTCTGCACTTTCTGTGGTGACCGCGGATTACTGAGTGACAACAGGGAGCCGGGAGCTGAGGCCCGGTCCCTGACCACACGCGCCTGGCCACCCTGCAGAAGGACTGCCACCAGAAGATCGATGAGCTCTTCTCCGGGAAGCTGTACCTCATCGGCATTGCTGCCATCGTGGTCGCCGTGATCATGGTGAGTGGGCGGGGGCGGAGGGCCTGTTCTCTGGGCTGCCCCTTCCTCAGGGCCCTATGCTGACCGAGCGCCCCACCACCCTCCCGCAGATCTTCGAGATGATCCTGAGCATGGTGCTGTGCTGTGGCATCCGGAACAGCTCCGTGTACTGAGGCCCCGCAGCTCTGGCCGCAGGGACCTCTGCAGTGCCCCCGAAGTGACCCGGACACTTCTGAGGGGGCCATCACCGCCTGTGTATATAACGTTTCCGGTATTACTCTGCTATACGTAGCCTTTTTACTTTTGAGGTTTTGTTTTTGTTCTGAACTTTCCTGTTACCTTTTCAGGGCTGACGTCACATGTAGGTGGCGTGTGTGAGTGGAGACGGGCCTGGGCCTTGGGGACTGGAGGGCAGGGGTCCTTCTGCCCCTGGGGTCCCAGGGAGTTCTGCCTGCTCAGCCAGGCCTCTCCTGGGAGCCACTCGCCCAGAGACTCAGCTTGGCCAACCTGGGGGGCTGTGTCCACCCAGCCCGCCCGTCCTGTGGGCTGCACAGCTCACCTTGTTCCCTCCTGCCCCGGTTCGAGAGCCGAGTCTATGGGCACTCTCTGCCTTCATGCACCTGTCCTTTCTAACAGTCACCTCCAACTGTAATCACAACATCCTGAATCCGTCATTTAATAAAGAAGGAACGTCAGGCATGCTACCAGGCCTGTCCAGCCCCTCAGTGCCAGTGGCGTCTGAGACCTAGGGGTTGGCCAGAGGGCGGGGGAGTCCGGCACGGGTGGGGCTCGGCTCTGTGGACTGTGTGGGCTCCAGGGTGAGGGGGTGGGTTGGGATCCCTGGTGTTCACAAAAGGAGTCACTCTGTAAAATTTGCGGAGTTATTTATTCTGAGCCAAATAAGAGCACCTGTGGCCTCTGACACAGCCCCGGGAGGCCCTGAGAACTGGTGCCCAAGGTGGTCTGGCTACTTGAATTTATACATTTTAGGGACATAAGACATCGATCAATACATCTAAGATGTATGTTGGTTTAGTCAGAAAGGTAGGATGATTTGAAGGGGAGGGACTTTCAGGTCATAGGCGGATTAAAAGATGTTCTGATTAACAATTGGTTGAGTTTATCTAAAGACCTGAAATCAATAGAATGGACTGTCTGGGTTAAGAGAAGGAGTTGTGAAGACCAAGATTCTTCTTATGCAGATGAAGCCTCCGGATTGTAAATGTTTCTTATCAGACTTAAAAAGGTGCCAGAATCTTAGTTAATTATCTCCTGGATCAGGAAATAGACCCTGAAAGGGAGGGGGATTCTCTATTGAATGTAGATTTTCCCAAGAGACAGCTTTGCAGGGCCATTTCAAAATACATCAGAGAAATATATTTTGGGGTAAAATACTTTGCTTTCTTTCAGGGCCTGCTGTCACATTGGTATCTTATTGATACAGAGTCTGTTTTGTGAGTCTTAAGGTCTCTGTTTATTTTTAGGCAAGAGTTTCGCTCTTGTCGCCCAGGCTGGAGTGCAGTGGCGTGATCTCGGCTCACGGCAACCTCCACCTCCCGGGTTCAAGCGATTCTCCTGCCTCAGCCTCCCGAGTAGGTGGGACCACAGGAATGCACCACCACACCCAGCCAATTTTGTATTTTTAGTAGAGACAGGGTTGCACCATGTTGGCCAGGCTAGTCTCGAACTCCTGAACACGCGAACTCAGGTGATAGACCAAGTGCTGGGATTATAGGTGTGAGCCACCACACCGGCCTAAGGTGTCTGTTTTAATGTGAATGCTGGTCAGCAGTGCCTGAATTCCCACTGGAAGAGGGTATAATGAGGCACATTGGGCCACCCACGGTCATCATGGCCTGAACTAGCTTTTCAGGTTTATTTTAGAATGCGTTTGGCCAAGAGGTGTCCATTCGGTTGGTTGGGGTTGCTTAGAATTTTACTTTGGGTTTAAACCAGGGAGTAACTCCAGGTAGCAAGGGCCCTTTCTGGGAGGATTCTCTGTGTTCTCTTTTGGGAGAGGCCCTGTGTTGCCTGCAGTCACTTCCACCGTGCCCCTTGGGCACACGAGGAGCACACAGTGTCAGTAGGTTGGCAGGAGGGGTCGGGCAGCCAGGGAATGCAGTATGAGATGGGCTTGGGGTCGGGGCTGGGTGCGCTGCAGGACTCCTCCTCCTCCTAAGGGACGGCAAAGGATGGACACACTGCTCCCTCCTGAGCATTTGAGGGTCTCTGTCCTGCCCATCTATTTCCTGTAAGTGTTCCTTTGAAGAGCTGGCGGCTCAGGCCTGAGCCATGTCTCAAAGGGGCTGGAGGGGAAGAAAGACCTCGTCCTACTAGGGAGCCCACCCAGCCCCTCAGCGGGCGGTGGTTGGGGGGTGGACAGGCTCTGGGGCTAAGCAGCCCCTGCGCTCCCCGTCCTTGCCAATGGGCTTGGTCTAGACTCTCCTATCTTCCCCTACATCGTGGGGTGGGGCTTGCTCTGGGTCAGGCTGCTTTTCCCTAGTTGTGGGGCGGGAGATGCTGGCACATTTAACTGACCCCTGGAGGAAATGAGTGCCTGGGAATTCATGTCTAGGGCTCCCAGCAGCCTCTTTGCGGGCCAATTTGGAAACTGTCCCCAGCCCTGCATTTTAGGGGGTTACAGAGTCTCTCAGCAGGCCCTCCTCCCCTGCTGCTCCCAACTTCCAAGCCTGCACTGGTTGGGGTAACAGGATGGTTCAAGGAGCCCCCTCTCTACTTTCCACTATGTTCCCTGTGGGGAGGGAAGAGCAGTTTAAGGAATAAGGTATCCCAAAGGCGCACAGCAGACCGGGGACCGAGGAGGGGGTCCTGCTTCCCCTCCTTTTCTCTAGGCTGAGCCACAGCAGGTCCTTGAATCCTATTTCCCAGCGGATGCCAGGAGAGCAGGCCCTGGGGGAGTTCTCTCGAGCCTTTCAGAGGGACCAGAGGTCTAGCAGCCACGGGGAACTCAGATTCCTTGACTGTGTGGGGCATGAACTCTCCCAGCTGAGAAGGGGCACAAGGTGCCAACAGGGCCAGTGGCCAAGGGAGACGCGGCTTGTCGAAGGGAGAACCTGGGCCCTAGTCTTCCCTTTCAGGGCGGGCATCTGACCTGCCCCCTGGACAGGCTCCCAAGCACGGCGGAGGCCAAACCTTCCCGGCTGCCGCCCACCCAGCCACGCTGACTTGGAAGCTTGAGCATTCAGCGGCCTCCATCCTGCCCGGAAGGACCAGGGACCTGGCCCCAGCTTCCCCGCAGCGCCCTCGGGGGACGTCTCAGTGCCTCCCGGAGCCCGGACCAGTGCACCAGAGCTGAGGGCCCAGAGGTGTCAGGGTGGCCGGGCAATTGTGTGAGGACGACGCCCCGCAAGTTTGCGGCCAGGGCCCAGTAAACCCCTAGGGGTGGGAAAGCGTCGGCCCAACCAGCGGGTAAAGCCCCCTTCACCCGTGACCCAGCGGCCACGACCCCGCGTCCTCATCTCGGGCTGGGACCGCCTCTGCGTCTGGCCTGAGCGGGACCGTGGGATCCCGGGGAGCCCCGCCTCGCTGCATTGACGAAGCCCAGGAGGAGCGACAGTTACCCCTTCCGGTCATGACCGGAAGTGCTGGGAACGGCATTCGTTCTCCATACGAGATGATGCACTTCCTGCCTGGGGCGGCCGCTGTTCTCGCGGTTTCCGGCAGGTGGCGCTGGGACCACGGGAAGCCGGCCCGGTTGTCGGTTAGCCGTCGAGCATTCTGGGAATTGCAGGCCTGGCCCCTCCTCTTCCTGTTCTTCTTGGTCAATTCCGGTCTTGGTTCCCCAACAAATGCCGTCGTTTCCGGGGCCGCTTCCGAGCCGGACCCAAGGGCCGGGGCGTAGAGGGGCGGGCGCATGCGCACAGGGCTACACATCCCGACAGGCGTCGGGAGTGGAGGCCCAGTGCCTTGTGGGAGTTGTAGTTCTGCAGGTGCGGAAGCCGCGGCGCTCCGCCGGCAGAGCACTCGGTTTCCCAGAGGGCTGAGCGCGCCGCGCGGACGTGCGGCGCCGACGAAGATGGAGATTGCCGTGCATCCTTGAGCCGGTAGGTTTGTGCTGAGGGAGGACGGGCCACGGTGGCCGGCCGAGCCTCCGGAAGGTCACCGAGCGCAGCTTTAAATTGAGCTCGGAGGCCCCGCTGTGCTCGCCAACCCCCGTACCTTGCGACCGGGCCCTTGGCACCCACAGCATCCTCTTGAGGCCCGGACCCGGGCCTGTCCAGCCCGACTTCGCACCGAGAGCCAACTTGGCACTGAGAGTTCGTTCTTTCCCTGGCGGGGAGGTCTTGCTGGCACATAGAGTGGAGAAAGGCCGGGCTCTGCATTCATGTGGAGAAACAGACGGCTTCCTTCAGTCTCCAGACATGAAGGAGTCAACTCTGCCCTTCCACTCATTGCCGGATCTCGCCGAGAACCCCGAGAACGGACTCCCGGAGTCCCTGTCTTGCAGCCCGATCCCCGCTCCCCCTCGGAGTGCCCCGCTGACCAGGCTGCTTCTGGCCGCGGCGGCGTTCTGCTGCAGAGGACGGGAGTGCGAATCTGGGGAGCAGGGGTCTGGTTGGAACTCCAGCTTCGTCTGCAACATACTGTGTGACTTGGGCAAATTATGGCCCCCGCCCCATTCCTGCCAGTTTTAAAACGGTCATCAGTGTGGGGGGTACTGGGTATCGCCTTTCCCTGGGGTGGCTTCTTCACTGAGGAGAGTCAGGCCTCAGAGGAATTGAGGTCCTTCCTGTGTTTGACCTGGTGGAGGGCACTGACAGTCCCTAATAGTACCCCTGACCCCATCCTTGTTGGGTGCACAAGACACAGGTCACCCTGGGCGGGCAAGGAGTGTTGGTAGCAGGAGAGGAGTCAGTGGATGGATGGCCGAGGACAGTGAAGAAGGGTGTGGATGGGCCGTCTTTTTTGCTTGGAAACGCAAGCTCTGAGGCACCTAGTCACTCTACCACTAAATGGGTACAGGAGGCAGCATTTGTCTGCCCAGCTGGAAAGGCAAGGTATGTGCTGAGTGTTACAGGAGGAAGGTCACTGGAGGTCGCTCCAGGAGCTGCGGGGATTTGCTTCTGCCTAGCAGGGCTGCTCAAGGTGATGGTCGACACCCCACTTTCCTGAGAGCTTGACCCTCAGATGCCAGGGCCTTGGCTGCAGATTCCTTGGGAGCTCCCGGGGATCTTCCAGCAAATAGGAGCAAACCTTTTCCCCATGGATCAGGAAGGTGCCGGCTCTTTGTGGAGTACCAACTGCTCACCCTGCACAGCAAGCAGCTTATAAGTGGCCCTCCTGCCTGATCTCGGCCCTGGGTTTAAGCCCTGGGTGGCTGCTTACTACTAAAATCGCTTAGTAGCTCCAAGCTTGCCTGCAGAGGGTTGGCACGATTAAATGAGGTAACGAGTCAAAAGTCCCTACCCTGAGTCCTAGCCTGTCAGGGGCTCTGAAAACCCAGACTTAGGTCGGTCCTGCCTGGCACCTTAAGGGGTGACAATGTGCTGGCACTGGACACAACCTGTTTCACACATGTGTGCTCTGGTCTGAGGTTGGTCCTCTCCCCCACCCCACCCACCTGCAGTTGAGCAGCTGAACAGCGGCAATGCTGGGGCACTCCCAGGCCTGAGACGACCACGCCTGTGCCACTGAGGACCTTCAGCAGGGCTCCATTCACCTGGCCCACTTGGCTGTCCAGTCACACTCCAGTGTCAACCACTGGCACCCAGCAGCCAAGAGAGGTGAGAGGAGGGCTTGGAGGGGGAGGCGGGACTCCACCCTGTGTGGGACGGTTCTGTCAGTTGATTCTCTACTTGTCCAGGGGCAGTGGATCTGCAGGGGGAACTCATTCTCAATACTTTTCCTCCTGAGAGACAAACTTCCTGGGCCGTTTTGGTTTAGGTGTGGCGTGGCCCTGGGGACCCATGGCTGATGCAGGGACAGGTGAGCCGTCCCCCAGCGTGGAGGGCGAGCACGGGACGGAGTATGACACGCTGCCTTCCGACACAGTCTCCCTCAGCGACTCGGACTCTGACCTCAGCTTGCCCGGTGGTGCCGAAGTGGAAGCACTGTCCCCGCTGGGGCTGCCTGGGGAGGAGGATTCAGGTCCTGATGAACCACCCTCACCCCCGTCAGGCCTCCTCCCGGCCACGGTGCAGCCATTCTATCTGAGAGGCATGAGCTCCACCTTCTCCCAGCGCAGCCGTGACATCTTTGACTGCCTGGAGGGAGCGGCCAGGAGGGCTCCATCCTCTGTGGCCCACACGAGCATGAGTGACAATGGAGGCTTCAAGCAGCCTCTAGCGCCCTCAGGCCGGTCTCCAGTGGAAGGCCTGGGCGGGGCCCGTCGGAGCCCTGCCTCCCCAAGGGTGCCTCCGGTCCCTGACTATGTGGCACACCCCGAGCGCTGGACCAAGTACAGCCTAGAAGATGTGACCGAGGTCAGCGAGCAGAGCAATCAGGCCACCGCCCTGGCCTTCCTGGGCTCCCAGAGCCTGGCTGCCCCCACTGACTGCGTGTCCTCCTTCAACCAGGACCCCTCCAGCTGTGGGGCGGGGAGGGTCGTCTTCACCAAACCAGTCCGAGGCGTCGAGGCCAGACACGAGAGGAAGAGGGTCCTGGGGAAGGTGGGAGAGCCGGGCAGGGGTGGCCTTGGGAACCCTGCCACAGACAGGGGCGAGGGCCCTGTGGAGCTGGCCCATCTGGCCGGCCCTGGGAGCCCAGAGGCCGAGGAGTGGGGCAGCCCCCATGGGGGCCTGCAGGAGGTGGAGGCACTGTCAGGGCCTGTCCACAGTGGGTCTGTGCCAGGTCTCCCGCCGGTGGAGACTGTTGGCTTCCATGGCAGCAGGAAGCGGAGTCGAGACCACTTCCGGAACAAGGGCAGCAGCCCTGAGGACCCAGGTGCTGAGGTCTGAGAGGGAGATGGCCCAGCCTGACCACACTGGCCACTGCCATCCTGCTGCCTTCCTAGTGGGGCTGGTCAAGGGGCAGCCTGGCCACTGCCCAGCTGGAGTGGGAGGAAGCCTGCAGGCTGCCTGTAGGTGGCACTGGAGGCCCTGGCTGCAGCTCTGGGTGGCGTCCTCCCGAGCAGAGACCTGCTGAGGCTCCTGGGGTGTGGGGTGTGGGCTGGAAGCACTGGCTTCCTGGTGGGGACAATAAAGGTTTTGGGTCTTTCTCAGACTTTGTGTATATTTGGGCCCTGCTTACTCAAAGGGGTCTGTCGGCAGCAAGAGGTCCCCACACCTGACAGTGCTGGACCACTCGAGGGTGGCTGACACCTGCATCCCTTAACAGCAGATCACCCAGGTGACAGCAAGAGTTGGTAACCCCAGGCCGCCTCTAGGGCTTGTGGCTCAGTGGCAGGTGTCCAGCGAGTACCCTCAATGGGCCTGAGTGGGTCCAGAATCTGCCCTCCCCCAACCAAAGCCCACAGGATGCCATCAGCCCCAGGCCTAGTGCGGACCACAGCTTGGGAGGCGACAGGGAAATGACAAAATGGGTCTGGACAGAGAAGGCTGGGGTGTGAGTGGGCAGTTGCGGGGCTTGGGCAGGTGTTTGACTGAGCCAGGGGTCCAGTTTTATCTGGGTGTTTTCCAGGCTCCACTGGAGATAAAGCAGCCACTGGCACCAACAGGGGCTGTGTCCTAGCGCCATAAACACCAGCGTGTGCTGTACTGGCCATTGGGTGTTGTGGGGACAGCTGACAGACGCCGTGGGTGCCCAGCCTTGTCTTCCAGGAGCCAATCACCTGAGCCCCAAAGGACCTTTTGGGTCTTAAGTGGCAGAAATTCTAACCAGTAGTGTTTCAAAAAAAGATGAGTCTCTTGTCAGGCAACACAAGTCAGGGCAGGGGTGGGTGCAGACCCCACAGCAGCTGCTCAGTCTGGATGGGGGTGCTCCCCCGTTGCACCGCAGGGCCAGCTTTTCTGCGGTGCACGCTGGTCAGTTTCCAAGTAGGGTTACGGTGGGGCACGTTTTCTGCCCGGGGAGTAGTGCCTGTCAGGGTAGACAGCCCCATGACACTGCGGTGCCCCCAGGGAGGCCGGGAGGGACAAGGAGCGGTTCCTTTGGGTGAGGGTCTGGTGAGGCACCAGGAGGGCCATTGTCTGCTGGGGGGTCTGCTGCCCCCTGGGGGTTCCGCTGGAGGTCGGCAAAGGTCAGTGCACAAGATCCAGGGTGGCCTGCTGAGGTGAGATGGCCCCACATATGGCAGGCCAAGCAGCTTAGGTGTCCGAGGAAGGCTGGCCAGCCCCGGGTTGTTCCTGGCCATCTAAACCCCCTCTGTGGTCAGAGGCCACCAGCCGGCTTCCCCCGCCACAGTGTCGAGAGCCTGATGGGAAGGAAGGCCCCCCTGAGTGGTGGGAGCCAGCAGGGCAGGCCCAGGAAGGGGAGAGGTAGCTGGCTCAGAGGCAAGGGCCAGGATGCCATGACTCCCAGAGTGAGTCCCCACAGGCCAGCCTGGGGAAGATGGGGAGCCCAGAGACAACCAGGCCTCCTCCTGCACTCCTGGGACTAGGAAAGCAACTCCCGTGAGGCTGAGGGGCCCTTTTGCCCCCTGAGCAGGACAGCCCGGTAGGGCCTGTGCCAAGCAGAGCCTCAGGAGTCTGAGTGAACCACATTTGACCCTGGCCGAGGCCGGGGCTCCGTCAGAGGGTTCCCACACCACCCTGAAGAACCATGTTTAGCCAAGGCCTCCTGAGACTCCCAGGCCAGGCAGGGAAGGCAGAGTACACAGCACAGCCTACGGCCCCCACCTGCTCCCACCAGCTGCTGCAGGGTGGGTGCCCATGCCCACCCTCATCCCATGCTCCCCAAACAGGCTTACTGCAGGGGCTGCCACCCTGGGCCAGCATGTCAGCCACAGAGGACACGAGCACCGAGCAATAGTTGATCTGGAGGAGGGAAACATGTCCGGGAAGCTCCAGGACTCTCAGGACAGCAGGGGACAGGCAACCTCCCCATCTCCCCTCTCCTGCCAGGGCCCCGCTGCCCCGGGACTCCTCCCTCTGGGAGCTGCCACTCAAAGGCGGGGTGGGTGAGGCTCCCGTGAGGCATGTAGAGTGAAACGTGAGGGGTTGTGAATGTGACACCCTCATTTAAGGCTGTGGCCTCTCAAGTGGCAGGGTGGAGCAGGCACAGGTGGGACGGCCCCCTTCCCCAGGACCTTCCTCCACCCACTGGGGTGCTCCTGCCCTGGCTCTGGTCTGGCTCATTTCTGTGAACGACCGGGCAGGGCTGTGGGCAGGTCCCAGTGGCCCCACGCGGCCACCCGCCTCCCGTCAGGGAGAGGAGCTCCAGGGCTCGCTTGCCTGTGACTCCAGATGCTTGATGCGTTTTTCTTGCTCCCTCAGCCCCCCGAGGTACTTGGCAACGAAGTCCACTCTGCAGCAGGAGCAGGCGGGTAGCTGTGGATGGCCACGCAGCACTCCGCGTGTGGGGAGCCTCCCCATCCCCTCAGGCCTCCCTGTGTGCCCGAGTCTGGGTGCCCTGGCCCTTTCCCTTCCCCCCTCATGCCCAGATCTGGTGGCACCAGGACCCCTCAAAGTGCACCTGGCACAGGTACAGAGCGCTCTGTGCCTCCCTGGTAGGGCTGGGGTGCCGTCCCTGCCTGGGCACACCACCCAGCAAGACGGTACAGGGCAGGCAGTCGGGGACAGGCCCCTGCAGCCAGGGCTGGAGGGAAGCCGGGGTGGGGAGTCCCACTCCTGAGACCACAGCAGGGAGGGCGCCACGGTCACTGTGCACGCTTCCTTTTCGCCTGGCTGGGCATCCCAGCAGGGTCCCGCACAGGTCAGGCTGGAAAGTGAGGCCCTTGGGCTTGGCCAGGGCCCTGCCCCTACCCGTTCAGCTTCGGCTCCCCAGCTCAGATCCTCTGTCACTGACGCCAAGGGCACATCCCTGCTTAAAGGCAGCCGGACACCCACCAGTGATCAGGACAGGCCCCCGCACCTGTTGGCGGTTTTCCGCAGCACCTCCCCCTCGCTGTCCCTCTTCCGCTTCTCCATCTTGCTCAGGAAGTTCTCCTTCTGCACTGTCTCCCAAGTGACGACCTTCTGGTCCAGGGGGTCCGGCAGGTCTCTCTCTGGGAAAGCGGGGCGGCAGTCAGCGTTACTAGAGCACATGGGCCTCAGTGGCAGAGCCCAGGCCTGGTCCCGGGGCGAGGTAGGCCCGGCAGGAGTGAGTGGGGCCCAGCCAGCGGATGGAGGGAGAGAACAGCCCTGTGCAGGGACGGCCAAGCTGCAGGGGGACGGGCTCAGCGGTGCCAGCCTGCACAGAGCCCAGCCGAGGACCCACGGGGCTGAGGAGGGGCCCAGGTCTCTCCAGACCCGCCTCCGGCGCACAGCCCCGCCCTGGGACCCACCGCCCCGGCCTCACCCAGGTGCTCCCGCTTGTGCTCGGCCTCCTTCTTGAAGACCCTGCGGAGGGCCAGGCTCAGGTGGCTGAGCAGGATGAAGGGCGGGGCCAGGGCGGGGCGCTCGTGGTACTCCACAATCAGGTTGTAGCGCTGGAACTTCCAGAACATGTCTGCGTTGCCCTGCACCACCTGGAACGTGTAACTGCAGGGACACAGCCGAGCCGTCACCTGCCAGCTCCCCACGCCCACCTGGGGGACGCATCCCACCTGTGCCCTGATTGCCGTCGGGGAGCCCTTTTTGAAACCGAGGCCCAGCACTGCTTCTGCACTCTCCTTGGGTCTTCCCCTGTCCGCTCTGCTCTCCTGGACAAGCCCAGAGTTCTCGCCACAGCACCCGTCCCCCAAAGACCCAGGCCCTGCTTCCTGGGACCAGGAGGGCGGCCCACAGAGTTCGAGGTCTTGGGCAGGCAAAGCCTCGCAGCCCAGGCTGCGCCGCCTCCTATCTGCCCTGGTGCACCAAGCCCTGCTGCGGACCGTGAAGGAGGCGGTGTTGGGGAATGACCCTCTGCTCCCTCCGCTCCAGGGCACTCTCCTCCAGGGGTTGGGTGGAGTCACCTGAACATGGCGATAAGCAGGTTCATGAGCAGCACGTTGGTGACCAACAGGAAGGTGACCAGCAGGAGGATGACCAGCCAGTTGGCGTAGAGGCTGGGGCAGGATGGCGAGTCCTCCAGCAGCAGTGGGTGGGTGGAGCAGTTCACACGGGCTTCTGGAAGGCAAGGGTGCCGTGGGGAACACCGTGGGGACCAGACCAGGGGCAGCCACAAGGGCGGCCTCAGGCAAACGCCCTGAGGTAGAGAGCTTAGTCTCAGTGTTGAACCCAGGGGACACAGGTGCTAGTTAGGTGACCCACTGTCCCAGTTCACCCAGGATGGCCTAGGTTTTAGCACCGAAACCCCCATCACAGCAAACCAGAACCAGATGGGTGGTGAGGCCCACCCTGGGCCCCCTCTGCCATGTCTGCTGGGCTTCCACCAGGGACTGGAGTCAGCCAGGGCCACAGGCCCTGGAGGTAGAGTCAAGACCCCCGGAGGGATGGAAGGTGGGGGACAGAGGGGTCACGGGACACAGGTTTCTGCCGGTTGTTGCGTGTGTTAAAACCTCCACCCCTCATCCCAAAAAAGCCTCTGCTGTTGAAGGTTTGGGGAAGCTGCTGAGGAAAGGGAGATGGGGTCCTTACTGCAGGACGTCTCAGAGCTGTTACAGCACTAACCCCTGTGATCATACTCCAAGCTGGGGAGTAATTCCGCCACCTTTCCAAAATGTATTGCGCCAGCAGGCTCCAGACAGGGCTCGCTGCAAGCCCTGAGGGCACCGATCCCACACTGGGCCACTCAAGTCAAGAACATTCTTCAGGCAGTGCACTCTGGGAGCTGGCAGGCTGAGCTCCCTCGGCCCTGGGCAGGGATACCCTGGAGGGGCAGCAGATCTCACTCCAGTCCCTTAAAACCAGAACCTCACACCGGCTTCTCCATTGCAGGGCTCAGCCTTAGACCCCCACCCCACCCCAGCCTGCAGGGCAGGAGGAGGGAGGAGGGAGCCACAGTGGGAGTCAGGGTGCTCAGGATCCCAGCCAGAGGCCAGAGCATGCCCCGGCCATCCGGGACCACATATCCCCTCCATATCCTAATGGGAGCTCCGCTCTCTTCTCCCTCCCCAGCCTGCATGCTGGGTTGTGTCTGTGTGAGCCTGTACATGTGTTTGGATGTGCCTGGCACACATGCTCATGTGTGAGTCTGTGTGAACACACTGGCACACACACAGG